TCGGCAATGATTTACTACAGCTGTTGTTTATAAACATCAAGGGCAAGGGCTTCTGACTGATACTCCTGGCCACATGTATTTCTACAGTCAGCACAAGCAAACAGAGAGTAAATAGAATCTTTTGTCTCTGTTGTATCACATTAAAGGTTGAGCAGCGATTATGTGGCTGGAGCAGTTTGGCAGACAGCACTTCTATCTTGTGTCCACCTCTTTCTAAACATTTATTTGTGATCAAATCAGTGCAGGGTCATCATTTAGCTGTTTGACACTATCAGAAACCTAATTGTGCAACTAATATAAAGTGCATTTAAAACATTGAAGCATACACAAGGACGCTGAAAGCAAAGGCTGACTGTAAGGTCATTAGAGCCAGATCAATAATGCAAATGAACAGACAGTTGCAACAGCAAGTGTGACAGACCGTTTTAGATGAACACCACTTTGAACCTATTAGATCAGCGGAGAGACAGCTCCCCTGGGAAATGCAGCTTTAAGGAGATTTTATGTTGGTTTGCATTTATTCATGCATTTATTTATCAGAATTTGAGAGGGTATGAGATGGAAAGAATACATGTGTTTCTTTATTCTAGCTGCACTGCTCATTACACCTAATGTGCACTTAATACTGTTACAACGGCCAAATGAATAAACGTAAATGTAGATTCCTCCAAAAGTTAATTTAATGCACTTTTGGAAGTGTCCCTAATAGACATCATGTGTCAGTTTGGGTTTTTACTCCTAGATTGTGAAATAAGTACACACACACACACATATATATATATATACACCATCTAACATAGCTAAATATTTGATATTTGTTATTTTATAATTTTTTTCTATTCCGTTTATATTTTTTATTTCCTTGTTTTTTATATGAATTTTCAGACAATCTTGCCAACAGCTAAATATTTGTTATAATTATTTCTAAAATTTAAAATTATTGAAACGTTACTAATATACTGTTTTTTATATTATTGTTATTATTATTATAAATAGTATTCATTATTATTACTACTACTACTACTACTACTACTATTAAAGTTTTTGAAAAGTTTTAAAAATGTATTTACTATTTATAAATTCATGTTAATGCTGTTTTCTGAAGACTGTCTACAGTGATGAACATCTGTGTCACTGTGTTTTTACCCTTAGATGGCAGTCATGGGTTGTGCTTGGCACTCTGCATGACTGATGACTTGTTTTATTGATGTTTCCTTACAACATTTCTTTTCCTTCTAAAATTTCCCTCAGAAAGTGACACTAGTTTGATTAAGTGCTCATCATAAAAGACACATTTCGGGAATGATCAGACCTGTTGCTGAAAACAATAAAAAACATAAAGTTTTAATGGCCTCATAAAAATACATGATATCTGGTTGGCCGGTCAGGTGGAATGCTGACTATACTTAAATTAGATTCCCCAGGGCACGAAATATAGCACACTTAAGTGAGCATTTATGTACGATTCGGCTTCAAGAAATTTATTGATTATTCCCTCCAATGTCGTGCCTCTACACGCAGCACTTTACGCGCTCATTCACAGGTTGCGTGTGCATTTTCTGCTGTGTCAGCTTGAAGAAATAATGCATGAAAGGAGATGTAATTGTAATTACTTGCCACTTAATTAATAGCATTCTGTTCCCAATCTTCATAAGCTCATTTACTCAGCATGCAATACTTTCATCAGCAGTGGCATGCACAGACCTCCGGAGGGGCAGGGGCTAAGCGACGTTGCTAGAGCACAATCGCGGATGGGGGTTAGGGGGGGATCACGGTCCTCACTAGAAATCACGGTCCGTGAACTGGACTTTCATCTTTTTACAATTTATATGAATGAATTTGTTTTTTATAATCAAACTTAGCATGAAAGTGCAACCCATTTTACTTTTGTAATGTAATATTGATTGATTTTATGCATCTGGAATGGAGTAGGCTTAGTAAAATGTCCCTTGAGCTTCACTATGAGAAGGATGTTCTGCTGACATCATCCCTTGGCTGGACGAAATGTGGACTCCCCAGTGTTAGGACATCAGTGCTTGTTGGCATGGAAAAGCTTCCTAGTTTGCTAGTTTTTCGCAGTGACAGTGAGTGGTGGACTGCTTGCCAGGAGTGGTGGGCGAAAGTTTGGCTTTCTCTCAGAAACGTGGCATGGACATCAAATCATCTGCCATCTGGTATCAATGCCATCAGTATTAGATGTTTCTACATTGAACAAAATTATAAACGCAACACTTTTGTTTTTGCCCCCTGTTTTTCATGAGCTGAACTCAAAGATCTAAGACTTTTTCTATGTACACAAAAGGCCTATTTCTCTCAAATATTGTTCACAAATCTGTCTAAATCTGTGTTAGTGAGCACTTCTCCTTTGCCGAGATAATCCATCCCCCTCACAGGTGTGGCATATCAAGATGCTGATTAGACAGCATGATTATTGCACAGGTGTGCCTTAGGCTGGCCACAATAAAAGGCCACTCTAAAATGTGCAGTTTCACATACACATACATTCAAAATGCCATCAATAAAATGTACCTGTGTTCGTTGTCCATAACATATGCCTGCGAAACAGAAAGGTTCTTCAGATGTTAAAGGTTCTTTATGGAACCATTTAGACAAAAAGGTTCTTCTATGCATCGTGAAGCACCTTTATTTTTAAGAGTGTGGGCCACTCGATCCACAACATTGACATCAGCAAACCCTCACCCACACGACGCCATACATGCTGTCTGCCACCTGCCCTGTAAGATATGCCACACCTGTGAGGTTGATGGATTATCTCTGCAAATGAGAAGTGCTCACTAACACAGATTTAGACAGATTTGTGAACAATATTTGAGAGAAATAGGCCTTTTGTGTACATAGAAAAAGTCTTAGATCTTTGAGTTCAGCTCATGAAAAATGGGGGCAAAAAACAAAAGTGTTGCGTTTATAATTTTGTTCAGTGTATATAAGCATCATGCTTCCTTTGAAATTCTAAGTACACGTTTAACGTTTCTACTACCATTATCAGACTAATAGACAACATGAAACACAGGTGGCAAACTAGAAGGCCACATTGTGGCTTAAAGTTCATGGCCTTTCCATTAACAATGGCTAATAAACAAGTATATGTAATAGACAGCAATTTCCCCCCAAAAATTGTAAGGTGTAAACTCACAGTTACCAGAAAAAAAGTCAAAACTGTGAAATAAAAAGTCACAATTACATTATTTTTTTATTCTGTGGCGGAAATAAAAACAGGATTGTGAGATGTAAAGTAAGAGGACTAAAGTAAAAATTGCGAGACATAAACTTGCTATTACATGTTTATAACCTGAAACTGTGACATAATTCTGAGAATTCTAAGAAAAAATGTCAGAATTGTGATCATAAATCATACAAGTACCTTTTTTTATTTTAAAACAAAATTGCGAGATGTAAACTTAGAATTTTGAGAAAAAAGTCAAAATTACAAGATGCAAACTCACAATTGTTGGAAAGAAACAAGCTTCCATAATTCATCATTTTTACTTCCAAAAACAATTGTTTTACAGTAAAATTACATGCATTGTTTTGGTAAATAAAGTTTATTGCTGTAAATGATAAGGTAACATACAGTTTTTATTGTAACATTTTTACACTTTTATATGTGCTAAAGATTTTGCTGTATATTTGTGAGCTTTTCATTTGCATTTCATCAAAGTGAATCACAGCATAGTCCATGTCAGCGGACTCTGTATCGATAAACAATTTATCCCCAAAAGTAATCATTGTAAATGTAATTGCCTTTGATTTTTAGAAGTGATAGCTACAGTATTCAATTGCATTACAGTCCTTCCAAACTGTAAGGTGTGACAATGATACAGTATCATTATAGACCAATCTAATGACATTTCTTTTTTAGTAATCATAAACTGATATGGAAACAGCAGAGAGTGAATATGTGATGAATACAGAGGGTTTTGCACAAGCTCCACTGACTGCCTTTAAAGGAGATTTTAACAGTGACTAACAGGAACCCTGCACTGAAGTTGGTGTCTGGCTCATAGTCTTCCTGTTTACCTAGATAACTGTCATTCTGTGGTGTAAACGTGTGAGAATACGTGTCTGCGTCTACGATTGAACATGTCAGTTTTTCTGTGCCCATCTAAGACTGTTTTTGCACACAGTAATACTCATAACAAGTTACAGTTACTCCTACATCTCAACAGAACAGACGGCAAACGATCCAGCCACCTACTATTTGAAGTAGGAAACTGAGAAACCTCAAGTGAAGTGTTTTCCGTGGACTGAAACTGCTTTTTCATTGTTCAGTGAATGAGTAACAAATTGTTGTTGAAACCTCAGTACCCCATAACCCAATGAGTCAACAGTTTTAGTGTAGTTTCCTAAGCAGAGACCTCCATTCTCTACAACTCATTTGTCAAACAGGACTGAAAGAGGATGTATGACTAAGAATGATAACTGACAAATTGACAGTTGTAAGCGAATAGAGGTTAGCTATACTTTAAGTGACGGGCTAAAAAACTGTTTTGACAGCTTCTACACAATGAGAATGTTTTTTTCCGTTATACTTAATCTGTTAATCTAGAAATGTAATGTAATTTTGATGATTCATATATAAAACACAATTATTTTAATAGGACCAATCTTAGGACCAATCTAGTTTCTCTTATCCTATGACTTTGGTTTAACGGTTGGCAGTAAAATGTCATCAACATGTAAATGGAAACTTTTGTGGCATATCTTTCTAGATTTGTGGGTTTATCTTCTTTTTTTTTTTAATACAAACAACTCATCATCTTATTATAATCTCATTATCATAGGATCATTACAGGTTGTCATACCAAAACATACTGGAAAAAGATGCTATATCATATCTATGACCCTAATAAATGGGCGTGAGATTTATTTTTGATGTAATGATCTAAAAATGCATAGTGTAGACAAGCAGTTTGTGGGTTAATCAAAGCTTGACTATTTTGGGGTTTGGGGTGAGGAGCACACACACATTCACACACTTCTTTGGCAGCTGACTATGACCTCTTCTGCCCCACAGTCTAACAGATTCAACCACACACACACCCTGGCACACACATTCAAGTATTTTTTGCTCCAGTTGCCTTCTTTAATGACTTCAACATGGGCCTGCCAGTATTTTTTATTTTAGCAATGGTTCTGAATTTAGCTCACAGCAGGGACATGCAAGGTAGGTTCATATTGTCTCAGGTTTAATTCTTTTTGCTTAATTTGATCAGATGATGCTGTTGTGTTTTCTGGTCCTTTTGAAAAGCCTGCATATTTTCTGGTAGTCTAGATACAAAAACAGACAGATTTTAGGTGGAATAATGTGAATTAATAGCATTTGATCAAAAAAAATGTGAACACACAATCTGTGCATTTCATTTCAGTCTGTGACTTTGCTCACACTGAGAAGACATTTCCAGAGAAAAGGGAGGGAAATAATTTCTGGCGGGCTTTGCAGTTGTGCATAGTAATAATAATTTTTTTTATTATCCTTTTGTTTGAATCATTGCTATTGATATTTTGAGCTTTTTTGAGTCTTTTAAGTATGTGATGATAATGATGATGATGATGATAATAATGATAAAAATCTGTTAAATCTGTTGCGCATTGAGAAGAGCTGCATGCAATGAATGAAGATTCTTTCACAAATTCTGCTTTAAGCATTTCCACTGTCCTTCGCCAGACATCCTTATTTGAGAAAAACATTTAACCACGTAACCTTTCATTCTGAAACCAATAAATGCTGGGGCATGGAAGCAATCAATTCTGGCTTGTATTTATTTGGTAGTACTGATTAAATTAGATTCCTAGAAAAGATACAATTATTTTCTTTTGTGAAAATTGTTCAGTAGACATTCAGTAGCAACAGAATGCAAGATGCTTTTTTTCAGATGGCAAAAAAATGCTTATTGCAATTGCTGGCTTTAATTAATTAATTATTTTATTTTGTTTGTATTTTTTTTTCTTGCTCAAGCCATTATTGTAAGATTTGTAACATAATCAAATCAGGTTAGTATAATGACGCATTCAACAGCTGTGATTTTGAACACAGAATTGTGTTTGCATGTAATCAGTTAAATGCCGTACAGTGGTATGTGTGTGGTTTACAGCAGCACGCAACATGTGTGTAAAAGAGCTGTGTTGGAAAGTCTTGTCACATGACTGAAAAACCAAAAACATCTGCTTCCTTTTGTGCAAAGTAGCTCAATTTCCATCCCAGACTCTATGCACGCTGCATGTGATGGCACTTTCTTTCTTTCTTTCTTTCTTTCTTCCTTGGAACACAAATGAAGATATTTTGAATACTGTGCTGTCCTCTCTTTGCAGAAAGCGGACTGCATGCAAAAAGGATGCAGAAGCACCATAAAGTAGTCAGCCATAAAAGTTGTATGACTTTTTAATTATTATTAAGGTGATTTTTGTTATTTTGGAATTTGACAGGCCCAGTCCCCATTAACTTTAATTACATGGAAAAGAGCAGCCAGGACATTCTTCAAAATCTCTTTTTGACCTTCTACAAGGGGGAAAAAAGTTTTTTCAGGTTTTGAACCACAAGAGGGCGAGTAAATAATGACAGAATTTCTATTTAAACTCTCCTTTTAAGAAAGTGGTTTCTTAATTTACTTTGGGTTACATAATATATGCCCTTCAGGATTAATTTCACAAAATGTTAGGGGGTGTTAAATGGACATGTCAAGAAATCCTTTTGTTGGCCGCCCTGTCACAAATGAAGAAATCTGCCAGAGTTTATTAAGAGTGCCAAGTGCTGACACTTCCCCTGACTGTGCTTTATATATGTGGGGTTAGAAGGGGACACAATGGATGTAAACAACAAATAAAATTAGTTGTTGCCGTAATGACTACTGTAATGGACTATGTCATTAAATCTTTGAGTAATATTCATCCCTCTCTCTTTATTATAGATTCAGAGACCAGAGAGTTGGATCTTGATCAAACAGTGACAGGGATTTTGGGGGAGGATGTCTACTTGCATTGTCTGTACATTGGACAAAGTAGCATATTGTTCTCCTCCTGGAACCGTATCGATTCTTCAAACAAGGCAAAGAAAATGGCAGGCTACAAGTCCAGTGCCAAATCTTTCGCAAGAGAAAACTTTGACATCCCGGCATCAATTACAAACCTTACTGTAAAGGTGAACGTGACAAGTTTTGATCAAGAGGGAGAATACACATGTGTCTTTGACTCTGATGAGGATGAAACAAAGGAAACCATGTTTCTTAGTGTTATTGGTGAGTATGCAAAAATGTATTTCCCCCCAGAAAAAAAGGAACTCTTATGGGTTTGAAATGATATGAAGAATGAATAAATTATGACAAATTCATCAATACCTCTGTTTTGTCTCTAAGCTCGGCCTGATGTTGACATAACTGTGAAAAAGGAAGTTGTGAATAGGATCCTCTACCATGCTGTCACTTGCTCTGCCTCCGGTGCCAAGCCTGAGGCTGTGATTAGATGGGAGATCTCTGGTGCCCTTCCAAAAGACGACATCTTCTCTGTGAACATGATTAATCCGGTTCATCCCAATGGCACAACCAGTTCAATCAGTGTACTTCGCTTCCCCCTAATTATGAATAATGAGAGCACTGTTACCTGTGTGGTTGAGCATCCAGCTTTTACTGAACCCAAAAGAGCCAACATAGAGGTGGATACATTTGGTAAGTTCTGTTCTGTAGCTTTATTAGAAAAAGCCAGGGAGTGCAAGACACATAAGCTACTTTTCTGTTCTTTTGCAATAGCTAAGGATGAAACCTAAAAGAAAGAACTGAGAAATCAAGTTGGTATTCTCCTACTGCTTGCTCTTTGCGCTAAGGTTGCAAGTGTTTCCTGTGCTACCGTCACATTTGTAACAGCTGTCTGACCACAAACGTAGCATACTGTGAAGATACAGTATAGATGTGTTCCTTTTAAAATACAAAAACAGCAAAATTGCAAAGAGTAAACTTCAGTAGTTCTGTTTTTTTTTACCATTTATTACAGACAAAAAGTGGCTGATAAAGAAAACTTATGAATACTGGTGAACTCAGCGAGATTGTTCTCACAGTTAGCAGTTTATTTGCTTGTTTTCAGGCCTGATTCACAAAAACAGTTTTGCAAATCGAGAACAATACCAGTCCAAAAATGTAGTTCCGAACATAATTTGCACAGTGCAGTTCTTGATCTTGCAAACCTGTTAGTAGCTTATGTTATTGAAGATGCAGCAGTCTACTTCAATCTAGCATAATTTTTGGAACCATACAGCATCTCTTCACTGCTATCCAGGCTTTTTAAAATGCTGAAGTCTGTTATAGTTATAACAGTTATAAGTCTGTTCTCCATAATTTGTTCAACTACCTAACCCATGGTTGATAGAAAATGTACAGTAATAGAGCAAGACTGACATTTGACTTGTAATTTTTGTTTATAAGACAATCAGTAAAGGCCTTATTGACATTTACCCCTGGTTTCACAGACAAAATGTAAATCTAAAGCTGTTTCAACTGAAAGAAACTTGCACTGACTGATCTTAAAATATGTCAATGCCTTTGTTTTGTCTCAAGATGCACACCAATAATGTTTTTTTCTAAGGCACGTTTATAAAAACTACTTAAATGTCCTAATTGATCTATTGCCTAATCCTGGCTTAACCTAAGCCCTCTCTATGAAACCAGGCCATAAAGTGTTCTTAAGTGTTAAATGCTCAAGTGTTTAAATTCTTAAGTGTTAAATGCTAAACCCTTTTGCAAGTGGTTAGTGAATAGGTATTTGCACTCAGAATACTGCAATTGGTGCAACTGTTTAGTCAATTTCTTGAATCATGACAGCTAAACGAAGCGTCTTTCATTCACTGAGAAATACCTTGCTTGGAGCTATAGTTAGCATTTCCAACAGCTTGGTAAACAGACAGAACAGCTGTTTAAACTCCTCTAAACTCAAATGTATGCTTGTTTAACCTTAAGATTAAACTCACAGATACTCGTCTCAGTTTTCTAAACAGAACAGTTTCTTTGTCATGAACTTCCCCTGTTCTTATTGGCACTTTTCTTCTTTTTAACAGTTTCGCCTGTTATAAGCATGAAGACCGTCCTGGTCCAAGAAGGAGAAGAAGACTTTCAAGAGGTCATCTGTTCAGCAACAGGAGGGAGGCCACATCCAAATATCACATGGATACTGCCTGAATTCAAAAACACGCCACCTTTACAGAGAAATGTCTCCAAACCAGATTCAGTTATCAGTTCATATCAGTTCCCATCAGATCCTTTTGAAGGAGATAATATCTCTTGTGTATTTAGCTATGCATTTCTCCCATTCATAAACACAAGGACAATCACTTTGCCAATTTACTGTGAGTACCAGCACTATTGAAACTGAATAGATGCACATATGTAGAATATTTAAAGCACTTTCTAATTTGTAAAACTTGTTTCCATCTAGATCTTTCCTCACTTCAGCTGAAGAACCTTGATTATGCCATTAACAGTGAGAACCAGACTTCATTGGCACTTGTGAAGGGGGACACGGACATTACAATCAGGATGGATGTTTTGAGCAATGTACCAAGTTATAAAGTGAAATGTTCCAGGTAAGATGTTATAATATCATCCCTGAAGGCCTTGAATATGAGCATAAAATGAAAATTTTAAATGAGCACTGATACAACACGATACTGTCAATCTACAATTAAAAATTAAAATATTGTATTCTGGTGTGTTGACGACAGAATAAACACACTGAAACAAGTTGTAAAAAGCTTGCTTTGCACTTTTGTATCACTTCATCAAGGGAAGGCCAACCACTACCTGAGGATGTGGATGTGGTTGGCAACAATCTCTTTGTCAGAGGACCTGTAGATCTGCACCTTGCTGGACAATATCTCTGCCAGGCCTCTTACCGTAGACATCAAGTTTCCCTGCAGTTTACAATTGAAGTAAATCCAAAAGTCCTACTGCCAGGTACTATATTTGCTTTCATAATATCATCACACTGTACTGATATTCTACACTCTATAACCAAGGATTGTCAACTAGAGTATAAGCTTGATTTAATTTCACTTTCAGTGACATTTCCCCCAAATATCAGTGTGAATTTAGTAGAGGATTCAGACTACTTTCACATTGAATGTTTGGCCTCCAATGCTGTACCTGCTGCAAATGTGTCCTGGGTTCTTCCAAAAGAGATTAATAGTACAATTCAGTCTGAAGACACACACTATAATGGATCTTATTCTGTCAGAAGTGTGTTGACTGTGCCTAGCTGCATGGCCCACAAATATGTAATTGAGTGTGTAGTCGACCATCCTGACTTAATGGAAGAAGAGAGGCGGCAGATTGCTCTTCATGTGTGTGGTAAGTCATTGTTGGATAGATGGATGGATGGATGGATGGATAGTACAATGATGATGATAAAACAATGGATGGATGGATAAATAGTACAATGATGATAATAGAACGATGGATGGATGCATGGATGGATGGATAAATAGTACAATGATGATAATAGATGGATGGATGGATGCATGCATGGATGGATGGACAGTACAATGATAATAATAGAACAATGGATGGATGGACGGATGGATAGTACAATGATGATAATAGAACAATGGATGGATGCATTGATGGATGGATGGTTGGATGGATGCATGCATGCATTGATGGACAGTACAATGATAATAATAGAACAATGGATGGATGCATTGATGGATGGATGGATGCATGCATGCATTGATGGACAGTACAATGATAATAATAGAACGATGGATGGATGGATGGACGGATGGATGAAGGCATGCATGCATGGATGGATATTATAATGATGATAATAGAACTATGGATGGATGGATGCATGCATGCATGAATGGATAGTGCAATGAAAGTAATAGAACAATGGACGGATGGATGGATGAAACAATAGATGGATGGATAGGTTATCAAATGGATGAATGGATGAATGGATGCATAGTACAATGATGATGATAATAGAACAATGGATAGATGGATGGATGGATGGATGGTTAAAATATTAGATGGATGGATAGGTTGACAAATGGATGGATGCATGCATAGTACAATGATGATGATAACAAAACAATGGATGGATGGATGCATGCATGGATGGATAGTACGATGATGATGACAGAACGATGGATGCATGGCTGGATGGATGGATCGATATGAACAATGAATGGATGAATGGATGAATAGATAGGTGGATAAATAGATGCATAGATGAACAACAAATATGCGTATGCGGATGGATGCGTATGTGGATAGAACGATGGATGAAAGTATAGAACAATGGATGGTTGAATGAATAAATAGATGCATGAATGAACAATAGATGCATGGATGGATGGATAAGCTGATGAATAGATAGGTGGGTGCATGGATGGATGGATGGATGGATAGAACAATGGATGAATGGTTGATGGATAAAATGATAAAGTATAGATGGATGAATAGATTGGTGGATGGATGAATGGATGGATGGATAGATGGATGCTGTTGACATGGGCAGCTCACAGGTTTTAAAACACAGCTATCAATCAAACATTCTGACATGTAGTTTATGTTTTTTGGTTGTAGCACCACCGAATATTACCCTGCAGTCTAGTGTTGAATGGAACAGTGACATTGCTTACACATCGCTGGTGTGTTCAGTGCAGAGCCAGACCCCAGCAGCAGCCATCACCTGGGCTGTGGAGTGCCATGGCATTGATATTAGCTCTAGTGAACTTGTAATGACTCGACCTGAGCTTCAGCAGAGTCATATGGTTGTCGCTCAGAGTATGGCACGTATTCCTATTTACTCACATGCCGGATGCACCGTGACCTGTGTGGTTGAGCATCGAGAGTTAGAGAAACCCGAGAACAAGAGCATCGTCCTCCCATCCTTAGGTAAGTTTTACTATTACATTAACCCCAAAAGTAGTTTGACGCTTGAGCCAGACTTAGAAATGAATGAATGTGATTGCAATAGGAAGCTAAATGTCAGTCCATTTATACATTTTAAATGACCTAATTATCACTGTGAAACTGCTATGCTTCTTATCGCTTGAATTTAAAGAAATAATCTGCATTCAATATAAATTAAGTTTAGCCCTAAAATGACCACTACAAAATCGACACATCAAGTAATGAAAATCTCTTTGCTTTTAGGACCGTCTGTAAGCCGTGCGTTTCTGGGGGAAGAGAGTTACACTCTTATTTGGCATGCTGTGTGTGAGTACAGCGGCGATGGGGTGAAACCCAACATCTCCTGGGTCTTTCCCGATGAAGACACTGTAATACTGGTGACTACTGAATCCAGATATGATGGAACTAAAGTAGAAGTCCGTTTAACTCATGAATTTCAACTCAGTCAGTATGAGGGGAAAGATTTGATATGTCTGATTCAGAACAAGCTCGGCAGGGATGAAAGACGGACAATACATGTTCCAAATTACTGTAAGTTTTTCTCAACCCTAAAATATTGACTGGCCTGATTTCTGGTTATTCATTCAGTAAAAGTAATCTGCTTTTTCTTTCACTTAGCTATCTCATCTATTGAGGTTTTAAACAAAACCACACTTGATCGTAGAAGTCATGGCCAGAATGAGCATCGTTTATCACTGCAAGAAAACCTCTCGAATCAGAAGATACTTCTCAAAGCCCACGGCAATGTTCCGTCGTACAAGACAACATGTTACAGGTATGTTGAATCATGCATGCTTAAATATGGCACGACATATACAAGAATTCAAAGTTACAGAAAAACGTTGTGACCGTATCACGGCCTGTTATACAGTTCCACAGCACTCTCAAAGCCTAAATGCAGCACACAGATTTTTCTTTCATTTCAGACACCCAAAGGGATAAATAGAAAAGGCAAGGGCTAGCTAAAGTTTTCACATTCATTTTTTTACTGCATCAGGCTGTGAAGTTCTGAATTCTTTTTGCTTGACAATAAATGCGGCAACATTTCTAATTTTTGTTTAGTTTAACTTGAAGTACTAAAATAACTAAAGCCAAATTAACTAAAACTAATAAAAAAATATATAGACATATTAAATACTAAGAAAAAAGAAAAAAGCACAACACAACTACTAAAAGGGAAAACAGAAAAACAGAAAATATTTAAAATAATAACAAAAACTGAAATAGCTATAATTATGCTGCTTAGCCCAGTAAATAGTCCAGTAGATCCTTTAAATCTGTCATTCTATAAGAACACATACCCAAAATTAATATTCCATATATAATTTACTCATCCTCATCTTGTCTCAAACCTTTATGACTTTGTTTCTTCCGTGGAACACAAAAGGAGATATTCAGAAGAATGTTCATGCTGCTCTTTTCCATACATTGAAAGTGAATGGTGACAGATGCTGTCAAGCTCCAATAGCGTAGTTATTGTTAACTAAAACTAAGCATAAACAAATCGTTTATGGTAATTGAAATCAAGCTAAAATAAAAATATATTATGATATTCAAATAAATCAAATATATTACATAAAACATTTAAACTTGAAAATTGGAAATGCTAATTGCAGCTAATGAAATAAATAAAATTAAATACGTTTTTGAAATACAAAAATTGCTAAAACTAGTAAATAGCAATACTAAAAATAAAATAAAGCTAAATAGAAATATTTAAACACTAATAAAAAATGACAAAACCACAACAAAAATTAAATTAAATTAAGATGAAAACTTGCACACTTTTTTGAAAAAAGTAACTTTTTGTGTTCAGAGCTTGAGAGTATGTGCCAACATTCAGTTTCACTGTATTGATAAGAGCAATGTTAACGTGTTCTAAGAAAGAAAGAAAAAAAGAAAGGTCATGAGTAAATTATGACAGTTTTCATTTTTGTGTGAACTGTCCATTGTAATGTAGTTTTGTTTGTGCTAATTTCAGACATATTGATCAAAACTCTTCTAAATCTTCCATCTAGCAGTTTCTAGAGAAAAATAGACTTTTGAAAGTTGTTAAGACATGCCTCTGAATTGTTCTCATCCCAGGGAGGACGGGTCAGCAGCTGACACAGAGGGCATGGCATTAGTTTTTACAGAGCCAGTGTCTGAACTGGATGCGGGATTGTACATATGCCACGTCTCGCACCACCACCACACGGCTAATGTTTTCATTCGGGTGGATGTAACTAGTGAAGAGACTCAACACAGTGAGTTTTCCACATATCAGTACTGGTAGAATATAGAAGTGTGGTGAATTGGTTTGTAATGAATGTTTGTTTTCCACAGTGATATTCATCATTATTTGCTTCTCGTCAGCTGCTGCAATCACCCTCATTTTGATTATCGTTTTGGTTGTCCTCTGGTGAGTAGACTAGCTTTCTAACAAACTTAGGTTAGATTCTGCTGTTTTCTTTTTGGATATTACCATACAGGTGAGATCGGTGGAGGCAAACAGGAAGCAAGGTAGCTTACCTAGACCAATGACATGCATCGTGTTCATAAACAGGATACATGGCTGGCACAGAACAAGACCGCATCTACCACATTTGTGCTTTCACGCGACATAAACAGATGCATGTTCATGTCTCAGCAATGGAGAATGATGTCAATTTAAATTGCAAACATATCTGTGGCTTTGATTTAAAAAAAAAAAAAAACTTGACATGTAAATTTCCTATTGTTGTCTTTCTAGTAAAAGTGGGAGAAGTCACTCGTCACAAAAGGTACAAAAGATAGACAAAGTGTTATATAATCATTTCAACATTTTGTCCAATAAATATCAATGGCTCATTTTTATTATTTTTTTTTCCAAAAGAATAACAGGACGGAGCGTGAGTCTCTAGCAGCTCTAATGCAGGATCCTCGCTGCCCAGAGAAGAAGGTGATTCCAGGCACAGCTGGGCCGCACTATGCTGAGCTTGTGCACTATTCCATTGTTTTTGATGCTAAAAGCACAGTGTGACACAGCTGTTGGGTTTAACGACTGTAATATATCAGTTTTTGCACATACTTGTGGAGTTTGTGGCAGCTTGAGTGCATGCGTTTAAAAAGGGGACATGCTTAAGATATTCATTCATTGTTAATCAGACTGTTATGCCGATGATGCAATTTGTAATGAAAAAAACAAAAAAGAAAATGGAAATTTGCTTCGTTTTCTCTACCCAGCCCATCCAAGATTTAGATGAGTTTTTTTCTTTATCAGAACAGATTTGGAGAAATCTATTGCGTTAGTTGGCTTTGCGTTAGTTGCTCACCAGTGGATCCTCTGCAGTGAATGGGTACCGTCGGAATGAGAGTCCAAATAGCAATACTAAAAATAAAATAAAGCTAAATAGAAATATTTAAACACTAATAAAAAATGACAAAACCACAACAAAAATTAAATTAAATTAAGATGAAAACTTGCACACTTTTTTGAAAAAAGTAACTTTTTGTGTTCAGAGCTTGAGAGTATGTGCCAACATTCAGTTTCACTGGATTGATAAGAGCAATGTTAACGTGTTCTAAGAAAGAAAGAAAAAAAGAAAGGTCATGAGTAAATTATGACAGTTTTCATTTTTGTGTGAACTGTCCATTGTAATGTAGTTTTGTTTGTGCTAATTTCAGACATATTGATCAAAACTCTTCTAAATCTTCCATCTAGCAGTTTCTAGAGAAAAATAGACTTTTGAAAGTTGTTAAGACATGCCTCTGAATTGTTCTCATCCCAGGGAGGACGGGTCAGCAGCTGACACAGAGGGCATGGCATTAGTTTTTACAGAGCCAGTGTCTGAACTGGATGCGGGATTGTACATATGCCACGTCTCGCACCACCACCACACGGCTAATGTTTTCATTCGGGTGGATGTAACTAGTGAAGAGACTCAACACAGTGAGTTTTCCACATATCAGTACTGGTAGAATATAGAAGTGTGGTGAATTGGTTTGTAATGAATGTTTGTTTTCCACAGTGATATTCATCATTATTTGCTTCTCGTCAGCTGCTGCAATCACCCTCATTTTGATTATCGTTTTGGTTGTCCTCTGGTGAGTAGACTAGCTTTCTAACAAACTTAGGTTAGATTCTGCTGTTTTCTTTTTGGATATTACCATACAGGTGAGATCGGTGGAGGCAAACAGGAAGCAAGGTAGCTTACCTAGACCAATGACATGCATCGTGTTCATAAACAGGATACATGGCTGGCACAGAACAAGACCGCATCTACCACATTTGTGCTTTCACGCGACATAAACAGATGCATGTTCATGTCTCAGCAATGGAGAATGATGTCAATTTAAATTGCAAACATATCTGTGGCTTTGATTTAAAAAAAAAAAAAAACTTGACATGTAAATTTTCTATTGTTGTTTCTTTCTAGTAAAAGTGGGGGAAGTCACTCGTCACAAAAGGTACAAAAGATAGACAAAGTGTTATATAATCATTTCAACATTTTGTCCAATAAATATCAATGGCTCATTTTTATTATTTTTTTTTCCAAAAGAATAACAGGACGGAGCGTGAGTCTCTAGCAGCTCTAATGCAGGATCCTCGCTGCCCAGAGAAGGTGGTGATTCCAGGCACAGCTGGGCCGCACTATGCTGAGCTTGTGCACTATTCCATTGTTTTTGATGCTAAAAGCACAGTGTGACACAGCTGTTGGGTTTTACGACTGTAATATATCAGTTTTTGCACATACTTGTGGAGTTTGTGGCAGCTTGAGTGCATGCGTTTAAAAAGGGGACATGCTTAAGAAATTCATTCATTGTTAATCAGACTGTTATGCTGATGATGCAATTTGTAATGAAAAAAACAAAAAAGAAAATGGAAATTTGCTTCGTTTTCTCTACCCAGCCCATCCAAGATTTAGATGAGTTTTTTTCTTTATCAGAACAGATTTGGAGAAATCTATTGCGTTAGTTGGCTTTGCGTTAGTTGCTCACCAGTGGATCCTCTGCAGTGAATGGGTACCGTCGGAATGAGAGTCCAAACAGCTGATAAAAACATCACAATAATTCAGAACGACTCCAGTCTATCAATTAACAGCTTGTGAATTGAAAATCTGTGTGTTTGTAATAAACACATCTATCAGGTTTCTCCAAAACTTCTCCAAATCCATTCTAGTCAACATTTGAAGTGGATCAAAACCTTTCATCAAAGTTGTCCTAAAACCAAAATGCGGTCTTGTCTTAGGACAACTTTTTTGATCCACTTCAAATGTTGACTATACTGTACATCTTGAATGGCCTAAGAATGAGTAAATGCAAATGTTTTTTTGGATGAACTATTCATTTAATATGAATATTTCATTAGTGGTCTCAGGGTTTTGGACTCAACTGTATATACACATTTTTGATATGTAGTTGTTCCTTTTCCTCAACTACAAATACCGATTGTAAGGAAAAGATTGAAGTAGCTTGGTATTACTTTTAGCATTATGATTTACTTCGATAAGTAGCATTGTTTTATAAATATTATGAGCCCGTTTTTATTGATTTACCACTTTTTAAGATTGTTGCTTTGTTCTGACTTACAGAGATATACTTTAAAAGTCTGGTTGGTGTGTTCTATCTTGTTTTCGTTCCAATTGTACTTGTAGCTCACAAACTGACTGAATTTGTAGCGCCGTAGCGCTGTCTGGTGGCCCTGCAGTATATAGTGGGAGAATCTACAACTGGGACTGTAGAGTCCAAGTCTGATATTTTGGTTATAAGATTTTACTCCCTTCACAGTCTCTGTTTGAATGACGACTGGTCTTCCTTTGTGTTGCTGTAAGATGTAAGATTTCCAGGTTAAATAATGTCACTGTGACACTTGTAAAAATACAATAAAATACTTGACAAGTTTAAATACTTATCGAGTCTGTTTGTTTATGAGGTAAAAAATATTATTCCAATCATAAGACGATATATGACAAATACAGTTTTCACAAAGGACAAAATTCTTTGAATGTCACATTATAAAATGTACTTTCCTGTTATACTGATTTACAAAACATACAATGTTGAGAAGAGATTTGAACCTTGAGTTAAACTGAATTATTGCTCATAAACCTTTCATACACAGTCCATACATAAAGAAGCAAAAAATGTACTTTATGTACATTTATCGTTTCTTGTACAGACAAGGTTTAAGTTGAAGAGCGACTTTCTTCACGTTCCCAGGTGCTTTTCCTGTCTTTATGAATTCAAAGGAGTAGAAGTGGCTGTTTTCGGTGTCCTAGAAAAAAATAGATGAACATAAATAGCTTGTAAACAGCTCTTTTCTTTAAGGGTCCAAATCACTGCATGTTGCCTTTTGGCGTCATGTACATAACTCATTTGCCATGATAACATAAAAATGACTCTGAAAGGGTGTGTTATATTAGGCTAAGTTTTTATATTCATAACAAAAGCATTACTTGGCTCTATAGATGCATTTTCTAGATTTGTTTTAGTTTTGTGTAAGAGGATGGGTGTTATTTTGCTATGTCCCATGCACTGCTAATTAAATTTGAATGATAGTAGAATAGTCAAATCATAAAATTAAAAAAAATTTTGTTCTCCTGTTAATATTTTGTTAAATAAGAGATTACTCAATTTGAGTGTATTGATCATTTGGTAATAAAAACTATATATTTATTTAATAAAAAAAAGAAGAGTTTGTCCATGTCCCTTGAATGGTTGTCCACCCTGTGGTATTGGGGAATCCACCCCTTTAAGAAAAGGCCATCCACTTTAGTGACATCAGGACAACAGATTTTTTTCAAAATATGTACGTTTAAAAATTCTTTTCAACAACCAGACTAAATATTTAGCTAGTTTGAGTTTGTTGTAAGCTAATATGCTAATTGAAGCTCAAAATGTCCACCCTGTTGGCCACTTAGACTCGATAGAGTGGACATACACATGACAGGGTGGACATAGCATTCATTTGTAGTTAATATTGCTAAAAACTAAAATGAACACATATCAATGTGACTGAGGATGTAATTTTATTATATATTATTATTATATTATTTTTTTTCGAAGTTGAATAAATGTGTTGTCATATTTTGTCATGCTTTGTGCGTTCTGCATAATGTGTCCACCCCGTCATGTGCTGGTCCACCCTGTTATCTTGATTACAATAATAGTATTAATAATAGTTTAAATAATAATTGAATCATATCTATATAATCCAGTGCGTTCAATAGCTAGGTGTGGGGGCAATAACATGCAAACAAAAAACTGCATCCAAATATCAGTTTTCTCCAAATAAGAAAAAAATTAATGTGCGAGTTTCTTTAAAAACACATGGTTTACATAAATTTTTTTATGTATTTATAATTTGAAAGCAAACAAATAACCGTTTAGGAAAGGGACATCATACCTTTCAGAAAATATAATTTGCATCTTAATATTGCAATGAAAACGTATTTAACAGTAATATATATGTCCATGACAGGGTGGACATATGGTTTATGCTTCGAATAATGGCCCATACTTATCTAAAAAAA